AAAAAAGAGGCCATAGTTACTCATACAACACAAGCCGACAATCCACATGGCTGGATCCATTTTCCTCTAAAATTTGGAAGGGTTAACATTACACCTGCAGGGGCAGTATCAGGTACCACTCACCCTCCCACAAATGGTGCAAGCTGATATCTGGGCCAACACTAAAGTCTCGTACACGGATTAGGGTTGAGTAGCCCAAGYGGCATCATGGGCCTGGGCCTGATCTAGATAAACCTGCATTGGTGGCTGAACCAAGAGAGGCCACGTATGTTCAAAACTGAGGCTAAACTGCCGTTAGTCTCTTTTTGACACCTTTCTGAAGTGCTCTGCAATAGTGGGGCGTTCAGGACAGTGCACAACTGCATAGATTCGATTTCAGCACAAAGTTGTTAGGACCATGTCGCGTCTTCCCAAAGCACAAGCCATTCAGGAATCTGAACATTAATTTCCAAAGCAGCTGAGGACTGTGGGTGACCAACCATACCTTAGGAGATCTCTGCACATCACTGGTCAACCACTAAAATGCTACACTAATGTTGTGTGATGCTCACTGCTCTCCAAGCTCACCCTCGTGTCCTTTTGCCTCACCACTGACTCCCATACTTAGTGATGCACCTTGCGCTATTTTCCCCAACTATACCYGCCTGCTGCTTACCTGGATAAACTTTTCTTTGGACACTTTCTACCAAGTCATCAACCTTCCCAACAGTCCCTTTGACTKCATTCTCTTGGTTGCTCTTTTCGAAGTCTTTCAACTACAGACCTCGCTGAGATGCTGGTTAGCCGGACACAAGATGTGCCCAGCAGGGAGGGACTCCTGCAGCCTTCACCACAGGCTGTACCAGGACATCTACACTGAATACATCCCCTTCATCAAATAAAGGGCTTGATAAAGAAAGAGCTGTAACAATTGACGCATCAGAAAAACATCTAGATTTTAGTGGCAAGAAGTCAACATGACAACAGAACAGTTTCCACAAGTTCCCAAGGAATTTAGGAATGAAAAGTCTGTATTGCTTAAAAAAATCCACCTTCCTCCTGCAATCATCTGTTCCTGTGTACAAGACAGGCCAAAATTTCTTTTATTCAATATTGCTAAACTATTCCTTGTTTTGGAAAGGGGACAGTTACTTAAAATGATAGGGTAATTCAGGTTGGAAGGGGTTTTGGGAGGTGATTGAGTCCAACCTCCTCTTCGAATCAGGATCAGCTACTTGCAGATACAGGYGTGTTGTTTGCCTTTCCTGATCCTACAGTTTTCCACTGGCTTTGCTGATTTTCCAAAGCATTCCTCCATGAATTGATGATTCTTGACTGTCTCGCTGTGTTCTCTGCTTTGCACACCAACTCTCAAAACCAGGCGGTGGCACACTGTGGTGAACCAATGCTGCGGGTAGGAGTTGCTCTTGTTTTTGGCCTCAGACTTCTATGCTGATCGCAGAGTTTTGTCTTGCTGCCTTGCTGACCTGATGTTCACCACAGTCACCTCCATTATTGTGATTTCTCAGATACCATTTAAGCCAAACATCCTTTTCCCTTGCATCCTTCAATATTCCCTCATTCAAAAACAAGTCACATCAAACTGTGCCTTCTCAGGTTGGTCACCAACCAGAACGCGCCTGCTGCAGTAAAAGTCTGGAGATGTCCTGAAGATGCAGCATGACCTGCCTGCTACAAAAGGCCCCAGTTTTAAAAACCTGAGTAAGGAAGTTAAATCAAAAGCCTCTTCACTCAGAACAAGCAATACCCAAACCAGCTGCTTTACCAGCCACTTACGAGCCGCTGTTTTGTGTTTTACTGGATTCTTTTACTCTATCTGCGTAGAACTTTTTAGTCTGAGCCCAACCCATTTTAGTCTGAGCCCAACCCACAGTGCCAACTGGGCCCTCATGCAAAAACCTGCACAGCAAAGAGCTCCCTACAATCTCAGGACTGTCTTTTCCTTCTCTTCCATCTCCATCTGGCACGAAGCACATTGTTACATAATTTTCTAGTGTGCATTACTGAATTTATAAACAAGCCTCATCTCCCTCAACCTCCAACTCTTCTCGACGGCCAAGAATCTCTGTCTTGGTTACAGGCAAAAGCGAGAACAGCCCTATCAATGATCTGAGCACAATCTGAGCACAAAACACCAGTCTTGGCACTTACCCAGCCAGAAGAAGTCTTGATATCACAGTCTCATTAACAGAGCAGAGTTCAGTATGTAAATCTCATGTAACACTCTCAGTTCTTAACTTCATCTCATTCTGCTGAAAAAGCTTTGGTGATTATAAAACAGTCTATCCCTATCTCTAAATCCATGAGATAACCCCATATGAAGCTCACCAAGAGTAGAAGTACTCAGTGGTTTCACTGGAATAAGAGGAAGAATTGCTTCAGCCCTAACACTTCTAACAGTCTGTTTCCTAGCCTGCAAGGCCAAACAGATGTCTGACCGAGGGCCAACCAGAGTCCCAGGAAGGAAAAAGATTTCTAATAGTCTGCACCATACAGCACAAAAGATTATACATTTGCTTGGACTAAGTGACATTTTCAGCTAATTACCCAGCTGCATCAGTAAGCCTAGCTTTCATTTTTGAACAAAGCCATCTTTCTAGGCATTTTTGAAACTTACAGAAATTTCCAGCTTTAGAAGACGTTACAGAAGAAAACTCTCTCCGCAAAGCTTGTATTTCACAGTCTATTTTTTGCTCCAGTAAAAAATCTCCTTTAGGTAGATGCTTAACATGGATGTGCAAAAACTCGCAAGCCTACTTATCAAAGCAGGTATCTTGATGTCTACACACATGGGACAAATATGATCCACGCTGTCCTCATTTATGTGATTCCCCTGGTGCTCATACTCACAACACTTTAGTCCTTCAGTTGGGACATCTCTTTTGCTRACCCACATGGAAACATGCTGTGTTACTTTGTCCAGTATTTGCAAACCAGAACATGAGTCCTTTAAAGTGAAGCACAGACTTCCTTTCCTATCATCTCCCGGGACCTCTCAGTCCCCAAGGTTTGCCTTTTCCTTCCTCCCATTCCCTGTGTCACCTGGTCAGAGACTCACCTGAGTTTTCCTTATCCTCAGGTCAGCAGATGACCTATTCAGTCCTTCTTCTTGTTCAATACTCTGTTCAATACCTGTTTGGGGTAGAAAGATACAGATTATTTCAAGCAGTTCAAAATAGAAAAAAAATGCTTGGCAGAGTGATTTTAAAAGAACTAAATCTGTGGATCATGGAGCACAGAGTCTCCAGCTCTGTAGTCTGGCCGGTGTTTTAGCCTGGATGGGCTGCAAAGCACCATTTCATTAATACAAAGCACCCACTCCATTTTTAACCCGCGTCCTCTGCTTTTAATAGGCAGGTGATTAGTTATTCAGACATGACGAGACTGTAATTCTCTCTCTAGAGGAACATGAGGGGACTAAAATGAGGTGTAGGAGTTGCACATCCAGAACAGCACCATCTGCACCCCTCATTTATGACTGTCACATGCTCACAGACTGGTGTATGTCCGTCTTTATCACCCAATCCCACAGCTTTCTGCCCACCAGGTACTTTTTTATTTGCATTCCACCAATGTCTAGCCACAAGATGAGACTCAGTATTTCTGAGGGCAGCACCAATCATTTGAAGCTTGGGAAGCAAGAGCTTTGCAAGAATTGATGCAATGCTCAGATCCGACCTCTGCATTTTCTGGTATTCAAAGAAAATGGAGTGCAGCGAAGGAGACGCAGAGCTAAAATTTGGCCCGCAAAACTAGAAAGCTCAAGACTTCTTTAAGGACTGTAAAGATAGCGGGTTTGCCAGCCGCCTAGCCTGCATAGGGAAGACCCATTAGCCTCAGTGTGTAGGCTGACAAGACAATGCTGTTCATTCCAGCTGAACAATTCACTGCAGCAAAGCAGAGATTTGCTCTTTTAATTATGTCTGGTAGTGCAACTAAGTGAAATTAATTCCTCACTTGCCCAAAGACCATAAATCACAGTCTGGACAGGAGTGTTACCTCAGTCACTGTCCCACCAGGGTTCTGCTGGGGAGATGGCATGACTTTGCAGGGCAAGGAGGTCTGGCAGGGGAACAAGGGAGTGCAAATCTGCTCCTCACTGCCAGCTCAAGACATGTTAATTCAGAAGCTCCTATGCTACAAACGAGGCTCTAAGTTCCACACCCCTTTTTCCTCGGCTCCAGCAGGCAGCCGGCTCAGCCCTTTGCTAGAAGTGAAGCCAAGAGATCCTCCAGCTGAGATGCGAGGCTCCACATAAGCTCGTCCGAGCTACAGACAATCCACAAGTTCGGCTAAAATACTTTATTCCTCACACAGCTCCCTCTGCAGCTCTCCAAATGCCGCTGTCCCTGCACAACTTCAGCACCACAGTTTGTCCCAGCACCCAGCACGAGGTTACTTTCTCCCTCAGGTCACAGAAGGCAGCAAAGGCTTCCGTCCACCCTGGACTTGCCAAGCAGCTTCACACCATAATCCAAAGCAGGAGAGCTGAGAAAGCAGTACACCAACCACAAACAGGTGTAGGCAGACAGCTCTGTTTTTCTTGTGGAGTGATCAATAAAAGTGGCTTCAGGGTACGTCCTTGCAGTCAGCAGCAGTWGGGAAACTTTTGAGGAAGACTTTGTAGACCTGCAGAATGCATCGTGATGCGGGCTGAGGGTATCCAGTCAGATACCACGGCTGAACACAACCAGTAAAGCTCCAGAGAACACGCATTACCTCTCATTTTCTCCTAGAAGGAAACAGTCTGTGTCCAGGAATTATCTGAAAGGTCTCGTCCCACACAGCCAGACGGCTGTGGTACTTCTCACACACTTCACCCAGACTGCGACTGTGCACTGGCTGCTGCCTGCACAGCATATTTCATYAGCAATTTGTCTTCCTCAACACTTGCCATAAATGGTTCCCTGTTCCTAAGGAACAGTATTGGCAAACATTGTACATTTATGATAATTAATAAAATCACATTTTCTCAAGAACCTTGTAATTAGGATTAGCCACTGCATGAGCAATTTCTCTCCTAGAGAAGTCATTTCATTGTCAGCAGATGGTGTTTTTGATCATTCGTGACTGTTTTCTTCCATTGATCATGCTGGCCATGAGGAAACTTGGGAGAAAGAACAAGCACAAATATTCTGCGGCTCCAGGTAAATACAAAACTTGGGAGAGTTTTTGGGGACCTGGAAATAGGACTGAGCCTGAAAGCACCCAGAGTACCTCAGGAATCATAGAAAGCACCTATGAAAGAGGACTTTTTTCACGAAAGAGTGAAAACTGCTAACACGTGGTGAGGAACCACTATAATTTCAGTGATTGCTGTSAAGTCTGAAGCCATCACAACAACTGAGGAAGCTGGTGCCAAGAGCTCTTCTTAAAGAGCTCAACAGAAAGGCAGCTCTTTGAAGATCCTCCCAGAGGGAAACTTTGTTCAGTTGCTTTGTGCAGAGTGAGCTCCCGAAGCGCCCTGGACYCCAGCTTGCAAGTCTTCTTTCAGTCGGGCCAGCTGTGTCCCCACGTGGACATCGGGGATCCCACTGCAGAACCACATGCTCCGGTGCAGAGCACTGCACAGCAAGGAGAAGCAAGATCTGTGGGCAAGTTTAACACAAGTGCATGGGACAAAATCCAAAAGACTAAGGAAGAAAGTGCCAGTTAGCTATCAGGGACACCATGAGTCACAAAAAACCATTCTGCAGGGTCCAAAGGACAAGCTGTTTCCAGCTCAGGAAAGGAAAGGTTAGCAGAAAAGAACAAGAATCACTAGGCTCTCACAGACGGGTGGGAATTTTATGTCTAACCAGCAGTTCCAGCAAGGAAGCATCACATCTCAAACAGTGCCAACAGAGGGACAAGGGATGCTCTCGGTGCCCACACTGGACACAGACATGCAAGCAGTGAAGAATCCAGCAAATGGCACCAGCCTCACTGAACTCTTCCAGAATTACAAGGCTTCCATGCAGTCTTGGGATTCAGGAAAACCTTGTTTCCAACAGCAAAAAGCAGCTCCTTTTCCTGGCTCTGAGGATACAGCCAGCCATCCTGCAATAAGCTGAGACAAAGTAAAAAAACCGTGTGCTTAGAATTGTACTTGACAATTGGCACTTGACTTAGAAGGGTTGAGATCCGCTACAGGCAAAAATGATCCTGGCCCAGCTCTGGCCAGGGGGTGGCCTGGCTTCTGCCTAGAAACGTCGTGACCTCAGCTGGGCACATCCACGCTCTTGCTGGAAGACTGGTCCCCAGCTCCAACGCTCCCCGGCTTCCTCAGCAGTGTGGTCTCCTCGAGTGCACCGGTATGCCGCAGCCATCCTTGGCTCAACAGCCGTGTTGGTTTTGCTCCCCAGCTGTCACAAAGATTGATTCTTCTCATAACTGTTGGTTATGCTTCCCAGCTTTGTGCCTGAGCTGCCTATGGCAGATATGTGCCAATAAAATGGAGTCTGCTGATGAGATACGATGACCTTCCTCAAGTGCCTGGCTTCCTTCTCCTGCTCCACCAACTCCACAGAGCCCCTTTCTCTGCAGACCCAGCCCACATGTCAGCAAAGGAAGAGGGGCAGGAGGCACCGCTGCCCAGGCTGAAGCCGCTGTCCTGATGGCAGCAGGCCGAGGCAAGTTATACTGGAAATGGAAAAGCCAGTGAAGAGCAAAACAGGTCCTGCAGAAGCAGAAGAAGTTTGGGGCTAGAGAAGTGGTCGTTCTCCAGACAAGAGCCCCTTGGCACTCTGCTTGCTGGACAGCAGGTTGGGCTGCCCACAGCACCTGACTTTGTTCTGCTCACCAGGGAATATCCTGCCCTTTTTAGAGACCTACAAACAGTTGGGCCCAACCTGGCATCTCTTCAACCTTTCMACCCGCTCAGTCCTGCTCCTCTGGCCTTACTGCAGGCTTGTCCAGGGCCAGGGCTCACAAAGCTGTATCCCCCAGCCTGGGGGTCTTGAGCTAGACCTGCTGCACAACCAGCCAACTTTGCAACTGGCAGGTCCCTGCCCTGGGCAGTAACAACTGCAAAAATGAAGYCCCTCTCCAGGCAATCACACCAAAGCAAAGGTGGAAGCCATTTCTGGCAGTCCCTTCCCTCACTTCTGGGAGCCCATTCACCATCGATCCAATTTTCCAGAGTGTAAAAACAGCCTCAGGCTTTGGCAGGACTGCAATTGTAATGAGTCCTTCCCAGCCATGAGCAGAAGAACCCCACAAGGTCCTGACACGAGTTAAACACTAGCTGCTGGCATTGGCCTGAGATGACAGCCCCATGGCACACTGAGCTGATCTGCAGCCATTTCAGGTCACTGCACACTCCCGAAACCCCTCCTGTTTCCATTTGCCATGTAAAATGCATTCTGAAAATCTTCATCATTTGACAAAAAAAAAAAAAAAACCCAAACAGTTCTGCGGAAGCTGGAGACAAATGAGGACAAACTCAGTGGCTCCAAGTGAGATGGGGGCACACAAGGGTGGAACAGCAGTGTGCAGAGCTGATGCCTGGAGCAGCATGTGTCCACTAGGGCCTTGGATTATCTCTGCTGTCAAGTCAAATCGGAGTGTTTTTAAGAGAGCTGAGACCGTGGAGGACTATTTTTTGGCAAGAGTGAATTTTATCTCACAGCTAGTGCTGAGAAGTACGGCGACCTGATCCTGGCCAGTGAGATTAAGTGCTGGTGTGCACAAGCATGATGTCCTCTGGTGGCTTTTTGCCTGAGCTCTTCTCTCTATCATTCCTCTGTTTTGGAAAGACATAAGGGGACATATGGATTCTGACCGCGCCCTCCCACCCCCAAAAGCATTGAACAAGTTCAGAAGCTAAACCATCCATGAGAAGAACAAGCAGTAGGATTCAGGAGGAGCAATGCACTCTGCCTCCCATGCACCAATGTCCCAGGACAGAGCAGTGCCCACGTGTGATGGCACCTGCTGTACCGCACTTCATGGTCAGGCAGGACCGCAGACACATCTGGGAGCCAGATGACACATGGGATGTGATTTCTGCTGGTCGAGTCCCTTCCCCTATGCCCAACAGCAGCATCACAGGCAAATACTCACTCTTTAGCTTGGAACGCACTTTGTTCGCTGTCTTTTTTATGTCAGACATTAACTCTTCCAGTTCCTCCTTTGTTTCTGGGGAGAGAGAAGAGAACAAACATGAGTACATTGTAGATGCTGCTAAAACCTACTGCTGATCCTCACAGCACGTGGCTCAGGATGGGGAGCAAGTTCACCTCCAATCTGGGAGAGCTGCAGAGCACTTCCAGCTCACACATCTGAGCGGATTCTCCTCACTGGTCCCTTGGACRTCATGAGCACCTTACACTGCTCTTCCAACAGGACATGGAAAGGCTCTGCTTGACAAAAGCCTAGTAGCAACTCATCTCCCCACACCCAGGGCGTGTGACCCCATCATGCTAAGACCCCACATGGAGGCACCAGGGTATGACCCTAAGCACRGTCCTCACTGCTGCCTGCCAGAAGATGCCATCAGGGTCAACACACATGGAGCTGCAAGCGCTCCAAGCCCTGTCCACACTGTTAGAAAAGCATCAGTCTTCCCTGGGAAAAGCCTAGTGCTCCTCTAKTAATTTTTCATTTGTTCTGCAATAAGGATATAACTCCTACGTGCCTAGGCTCTTCACTTTCCCTTCAGCCAACTGGTGACACAGCTTGACTAATTTCCAGTTTTTGCTCTTTCGCTCCTCAGTCCAAATTCACTCTTTTTGGCAGAAATCGACAGCCAGAAGGAGCACAGTGTTAAAAAACACAGCAGTCCCACTGACCACGTTTCAGAAATGGCTCTGGGAAGCCCAACAGCAGCAGAACCATGTAAAACAATTCTCATATTTCATTGCTCAGGGCAACAGGGCTTGAAAATAAATTAAATGCAAGGCAAAGCCCTTCTCCCTGGGCCCATTCAGATCCAAAGYTCCTTCTTCTGTGCTACCCCTCCAGAGCGCAGCGCAAACAGCACCGAATTCCTGCTAAAACCAGCTCTGCTGAGCTCTGAGATCACATCCGTAAGTCTCAGCATCCCTCTAGGGCCTTTTCTCCAAGCCTAAAATGGTTTTTATAGAAGTTGGTCTCCCAGGCTGTCAGGAATATTGACTTCATTACACAGAGAAGAAAAGTAAACAACATACTTAGGAGAAGTAAATCAGCTGGAGAAGTTCACAGCCCTGAGTCACCGATGGGACTTGCCATAGGGCTATCCATCCTCTCCCCACGTGCAAAAACCAGAAATCAGGCTGTATGACTTTTAATCGAAAATTAATGACAGCTTAATCACTATAATGCCTCTAGACAGGAGGCTGTGGCTTGTAATGTTGTCTGCATTGCAGTAGCTTCTCCAAGCCAAAACCCAGTGCTTGTCCGAACAYGGATCAGAACCAAGCTCCTTGATCCCAACCATATCTCCTGCCCAGAAACCACAGAGCACCCTTTAAGGAGACTGAGACACCCCGCAGTGACTTTCACCATCCTGTGTTTCAGAGACTGCTGGAGCCCTGCCAGAGCAGCAGCACATACGAAGTAGGTCATACATGTTCTCACTTGCCTGTGCCCTATCAACAGAGCCCTTCGCTCTGAGTGTTTGCAGACAGAGTGTGTGCTAGGGAACACCTGCGTTCGAACCACAAGCCACCTCATCMAAGGAAGGACAGCAGAGCACGGGGGAGGATGGCAGGTGCCTCGCTGTGCTCATCCACCGGCGTGCCCAGACTGGAGCTGACTCCCTGGGATGTCTCCCTGAGCGGTTCTGCCAGCCTGGCCAACACAAGAACACGGCAGCACAGCCAGAGCATTGCAATGCCTCAATATCCAGACACCGAAGGAAGGACAAAAGGCTTCCCGTTCAAATGGGATTTCTCCGAAATACAGCCACCCTACTGCTTCCTTTTGTTTTTGATGAGATTGAGACCTATTGAATTAAGTAAAACTTTGTTTTATAGACTCTAGGCACATTAACGGAGTCATTTCGATGGCTGTGGTAGTTCTGATGCTCTATGCTCTCAGCTGGCAGTCGCTAGACATAATTAGAAAATCATGATGACGGAAAAGTGCTGGGGGAAGGTCACATCCTATCAATAGCTGTACACATTTCTAATGCAACTCAGGCCTTCAGTAGTATTCAGGAAAGTGAGGAAATAAACACTTCTGCAAATACCTTCATCCAGGCTCCAGTTATTTTGGCAGATGCCAACACAACAGACTAACTGGTGAGACACAAAATGATTTGCCAAAAGAAGAAGCATCAGCTCAGGGAAGAGGAGGACATTTTCAGTTGGATTTCTCAGTTAAGTAATTATTTTATTTGTTCTCATTCTTACAAGAATCATAGAATCATTATGGTTGGAAAAGACCTTCAAGATCATTGAGTTCAACTATAAGCCCTTCAACASCATGCTTGTCAGACCACGTCCCTAAGTGCCTCATCTTACAAATTTCTTGAACACTGCCAGGGATGGYGGCTCCAATGTTTTGCTACAATGTTTTACTACTCTTTCCATGTMRAAATTCTTTCTAATGTCTAACTTGAACCTCCCCTGGTGCAACTTGAGGCCATTTCCTCTTGTCCTCTTTTTGGTAGTTACTTTGGAGAAAGATGGACCCTGGCCTCACTACAACATTCATTCTTTCTTCCAGGTAGTTGKGCAGAGTGAGAAGGTCTCCCCTTAGTCTTCCCTTCTGCAGACTAAACAACCCCAGCTGCCTCAGCTGCTTCTCGTAAGGTCTCTGCTGCAGCCCTTTCACCAGCTTCGTTGCCCTTTTCTAGACAGGCTCCAGCACCTCAATGTCTTTCTTGTGGTGAGAGGCCCAAAGCTGAACACAGGACTGGAGGTGCGGCCTCAGCAGCACCAGGTACAGGGACACAATCACTTCCCCGATCCTGCTGGCCACACTGTAGYGCTGCACGGGGTTGTTGTGACCCAMGTGAAGGATCTGGCACTTGGCCTTGTTGAACCTCATCCATCGGGTCTCAGCCCATTGATTCAGCTTGTCTGGATCCCTCTGCAAAGCCTTCCTACGCTCAAGCAGATCTACTCTTCCTCCCAGCTTGGTGTCATCTGCAAATTTACTGAGGGTGCCCTCAATCCCCTCATCCATATCATCGATAAAAATATGAAGGGGGATCGGCCCCATCTCCGACCCCTGGGGAACATCACTCATGAGCAGTTGCCAGCTGCATTTAACTCCATTCACCACCATGTTCTGGGCCTGGCCATCCAGACGGCAAAGAGGACATATATTTAATAAACAAACTAGCTTGGGCCAAATAATGCCACACTCTAGAACAGGCTTAGGGCCCGCTTGTTAAACAGCAGTTTTGCAGAAGATGACTTAGGAGTCCTAGTGGGCAACAAACTGCTGAGGAAGGAGCTCTTTTGCTCACAGAGAACTGACATCATGGGCCAGGCTAGCAAGAGGAATGAGCAGCCAGCAGAGCAAGGAAAGGGATTGTTCCTATTCCCTTGGCACTTGTGAGACCACATCTAAGGTGCTGTGTTCTGTTTGGGACTTCTGCTAAACAGGCAGGCACTGACACAGTGCAGCAAGTTCAACCAAGGCCACGAAGATGGTCAGGGTGAGAGGACAGGATATACATGAGCATGCCGAGACACCTGGGTTTTCTTAGCCGGAAAGGGGAAGATATGAAGGGATCCTACTGCTATCTGCAACTAAATAGTATAGAGGATGGAGCAAGACTCTCCATGGAGGTACACAGGTACTGGACAAGACGTGGCAGACCAAGMTGGGACATGGGAACTTCCACTTAGATATTAGGGAGGAAAAGTCATCATGAAGATGGTCGAACAGGACTTCCAGAGAAGATATGGGTGTCCATCCTTAGGTGTATTCATAAAAYGTCTGGAAAAGGCCCTGTGCTGATGGATCTGCTTGGAGGGAAATTGGACCAGAGACCTCTGGAGATCCACCCACGTCAACCTGTGATTCTATGAAACAATTTCATGTATTTTGACAGAAATTAGCTTCCCTTTTGCCCGTTGATTTGAGGTGAGGGAACCAGCAACAAGCACATATGCAGCAATATGGTGAGATAGTGTATGCACCCAGAGTAGCTCTGAYGGGTAACAGAGATACACAGGTGGGCAAAAGGACATGGGACAAGATTTACATACTTCCTTGAAGCTTCCTTTTCTCAAAATATGTTCAACAGAGGAACAGATAGAAAACACCACTTCTGGATAGTTTTTGAGTCACTGAACTTGTGAGGATGACTTGGCGGTCTGGCAGGCGCGTGCTTCCCGACAATTATTTTCACATTGACGGTATCGGTTTAAGTGACTCACTCAGATCTGTTTCACTGTTTGTTGCGAGTAACATGCAGCAACAGGAAGCTGAGCAACGACAACATCACTGCTGCTGCGGCCAGAGCCATCCAGAGCACCAAAGGCTGCAGCAYAGGACACCGTCAACACTTCCTGCCACCACGGTTCATGCAGGTAATATGATTCAGCTTCACTACAGACTCAGCTACCTGGAAAATTAAAAATAAAAATAAAAGGAAAAACCTATTCCCTTGTGCTCTCCCTCCTCAAAGCTTTCTGAGCATCTTTTAGCGAGGGGAAGCGAGCACCATGCGACAGGATGTTCCAACAAAACCCAAACGCATCACCCTGGGCTCCCACACAGGATGCTGATGCTCTTTGGGGTGGGTAGATTCCTGCCCACAGCCTAAAAACTAAAACTGAATGGCCTTAATAAACGGGAGAAAAAGCTACAGAGTAGCTATAACTGCACAAAGAAACAAACTTCCACAGCATAGAGGTTAACCACGGGGAAACTGAAAACCACTCTGCTCTGCTTTGGGACCCTACGACATGTGAACAAGTCAATGAAGGTAACATATACGCAAGGAGCTCCAAGCTAGCTTAAACTTTCTCACACAGTAAGAAACCTTCTTATGAGGATTAATGAAATTTCACCTTTTGTTACATGGAATTCTTTACTGATGAAAACCAACATAATTAACAACAGTACATTTTAGAAGAAAGTCATAACTCGGTTGTCTGGCAAACAAGCTGGGAGAAGGATCGTTCTTGTAAAGGCTTAATTCTAAAAAAGTAAAGAAGTTCCTACCTGCAATTCCTCCAAAGACTTTTTTAAAA